TCGTGTCCTCTTTTGGAAGGCCAAACAAAGTAGTTTCGCTTTCACAACGAAACACAGCGTCACACACGGCGAGCTAGAGTGAGCAGAGGCCGGCGGATTCGACGAAGGAGCGGCCGGCGGGTTTGCATGGCATGGCGAAGCGGATATCGTCCTCTTTTGGAAGGCCAAACAAAGTAGTTTTGCTTTCACAACAAAACACACAGCGCCTTCACGACATGGCGGCGGCAGCAACAATACTACAGCGAGAATAAAAGTTACGCCTTCTTTCTTTGCGTGAACATTTGGGCGGCGTTATGCAAATCTTCCCACATCGTGACGTAGATATGTGGGGGCGTGTTAGAACAAGCCGTTTTAGGTAGGCATGGTTGACTCTTAACTTTTATAAAGAATATCTCTTTGGATTTGAGACTTTAGTCTTTGCAACTTTACAGATCTTCTTTATGCACCAAGAGCTTGTAACACTTCAAAGAGAAAGGAAAAATTGAAATCGCATCATATGACCCCTTTAAGGGGAAGTCTACACACAATGGCGTGACTAAATGGACACAAGACCAAATATTCCACCGCAAAACAATAATAGGCAGTAGAAAATTAAAAGAAGAAGCTTTCAGTGTTATCAACCAGATCCTCAAATGAAACATTATGGGAAGTTTAAAGACAATTAATTACACTGAGTACTTTAATACATATTTTGTTGGGAACATTTAATGGCTTGCATGTAGTTTGTATACCTTTCTTGGTTCAACGTAACCAATTAAACATGTTTTCCCACATTTACAGGACATACTGTAGCTACACCCTTGTTTTGTCAATGAAGGTTATTTAGGGTTAACCGCTTTCACATTCCCCTCTCTTATTTCAGACAACTTAAGAGGGCCAACTGCCATTTGTTTCTGTGCATCTAAAGAGAAAGTGACAGAGTGAGAGCTTCATCCTCCTCCATGTCTCCTGCTGCCATAGGCAACCCAGCAGTGGGGATAAAGCAGCTCACGGTAACCATGGTGAGGACACATGCAGAAAGGACACACAATGAGGAAAAAAATAGGAAAAAATAAAATGTTAGATTGCACTGCTGAATAATAGCGTATTTGATGCATATTGATCTCTGAAATTATTTGGTATGTTCATGTAACAGGCCATTTTTTTCTATTTTAAAGGCCCTAGGAAATGAATGGGATTTACTTTTAAACTGATGTAAATAAGTTGTAAATGTACTATAGCCTAGTGAAATCTGTTTTGGACCAAATATTTTACTCATTGTGTATGGTGACATAGTTAGCCTATATTTATTATAGCCTAACTGTAAAGGCTTGAGTAAAGTTTCCTGGTCCTTCTTTTTATTTTGTAAACGATTAATGCATGTATACATTAATACATTTGAATAAATTTTAAAAGATCAGAGCAAGATACCTGTTTTATCAGAGCAGACGTTCACGGGTCTGGAACTGAACATTGGAAGATCACTGCAGATAAGTTATTTGGCAGTTTATGATCACGTGATCTTGGGATTTAAAAAATGTAAAAGTGAATTTATTTGACACCTGGCTGGGAATGAATATGAGACTACGAACACACAACAATACACATTAGCCTAAATACATTTAAAAAGTACAAAGAGGCTATATTGGACGTAAAAGTCTAATTTGCCCCCATTAAATAAACATGTTTCTGCTATGCCACTGTATGGGATTTAAGAGGGAAATGTCCTTCATTTTCGAAGTAGCCTAAAGCTCACGGAACTGACCGTCTGACATTTAAAGCAGACTTCCGCCAGGCATTTTCAGTAAACATAAGCAAAATCTCGCCTGATACGGTTTCGGTCACGTGACGTGTCACAGGCTTCATTTTCGACACTGCAGGTGAACTAGAACAGCCTTTGTAACATAATTCCATATTCTTCAATTAGATATCTCCAGGAAAATCCGTGTCGTTTTCAAGATCCTGCAAACTTTCACAGTGTTTACAAAACTATATTGTCATATCACTGTGGGGAAACATTTATTAGTAATAATACTGGTTATTGAGAAATATAGTATATCATATATATATTATAATAACAGTTGCCTTCATATAATAAACAACAACAATAACAAGAAGAAGAAAAATAAAAAGAAGAAGAACAACAACAATTAGGTCCAGATGTAGCTACAAACAAGAAAATCCATGTTTTCAATTATAAATCTGAGATATTGCAGATGCTTTTATCCAAAACAGCTTACAATTGGGGAACACATCTCAGCTCTCAAGAAATCTGTCAAGCTTTTTATGTTGTGTAAAACTATAATCAACTGAACAGTGAACACATACCGTAAGCTACTGCATTCCACCTAACCTTCAACCAGCTGTGATTTCTTGTGGCTCAATATTACCCTGCACCCATTTTACACTAATAATGTAGTTAGGTTCCTTTAGAAACTCAAAGGGGCAGAATGAATTGTGACATCACATCACCACCTTTATGGAACACATACAGATTTTTTGTTTTGTTTGTGTTTATCTTAAAATGCACTCTAAAAAATGCTGGGTTAAAAAGGGACAACCCCAGCTATTGGGTTGTTTTGACCCAGCGGTTGGGTTGTTTTGATCCCAATCGCTGGGTCAAAACAACCCAATAGCTGGGTTTGTCCCTTTTTAACTCAGCGCTGGGTTATATTTAACCCAGCATTTTTTAGAGCGTGTGAATGGAAAAATATTATGATAAAGAAATCTTTCCATTGCATATCTGATCTTGATCCTTGACCTTGAACCTGTCTTCTGTAGTTTTTACATTAAATGAGTGAATAATAGCTGTAATCAAACATAATAATGCATTAATTAGGGAGGAGAAGGTGAAGAAAATACCAGAACTGAAATTTGCCCTCTGATTATCATTTATATTGTTTCATTTTTATTTGGCAAGATAGATTATGTTGCATAGGTTGCATAACATTCCTTTTGTAAAAGAGTCAGTCTGTTGACTGGAAAGAATGAGAGAAAATTGATACACATTCGTTTGTCTGTAACCTTCTCCCACCAGGGGAGGAAACCTTCACTTCACATTCCTGAGATGAACAACACTGCAGGCTGAGAGAATTATGATT